CTGAGCTTGAATGACTTCTTGCACTAAATCCACTGAGCCTCATGTATGTTCCCTGGTTTTAGCCATGGAGAAAACTCTTGGCTGGAGACAATTTTGGTCACATTTACACTTGCTCAGATTTTCCAGACAAAAAGTAAATGGCGAATCTCCCAAATGTCCCGGCCGCAACAACGCTTTATTGGTTCCGTTATCGGGACGGAACCATTAATGGAGAGCTGTTATTTTTAAATAAATAAAAAAAAAATTGCCAATTTTAACGTTTTATTTAGATTACAAAAATAAATAAATCGTAATAAAAATAATCCTGTTATGAGGTTTTAAAAATTAAGACCTACGAAAGACTGATTTAAGACATTTTAATACCAATTAAGGCCTTAGTTTTATTTTGAAGAATTCAAAGCCTTTTAAGACTTTTTAAGGACCTGCAGGAACCCTGACTATAGAAATAAACTGAAATGAACTGAACTAAATTCACTCCAGCTTTCACTATTAACACTTTCCCAATATCATGCACAAATTGGATTAATAACACAGCATTCAGGTTTAATAAAACATGTTATGTAGCAACGCTAAAAATATGCTATTTTGCCATATATGTTAAATCAATATTCCAACACTTCAAAATTAGGAACAAAACCGGCTTGTTCCAAATGAAATGAGGATGTTTTCTCTGAAGTTTGACTAAATCCTTTAGGCTTTCTTTATGCGCAGGGATTCACCTTGGCTGGCTCCTCTACGGCGGAGGCCTGATACTTCCTCATCCTCTCAAACACGGAGCTATCGGCGCAGCCTCCCTCTGGGCCGTACTTGTGCGGGTAGTCTGAGTGACAGAGGCAGATACAAACACTGTTTGGATTACAAAGACAATGTTAGCTACTTAACCCCGTGAGTCATTGTATTGCCGGTGCTATTCATGATCGGCTAATGGATGTACTTAGACATCGCTTGATGCGGCTCGCTGCGGTGTGTGAGCCGCTGCCTTCCTCGTCTCTCTCATTAGCCATTCTTTTCGCAATCCTCTTTAATTTGCCCCAAAGCCTCTTGCTATGTGTTCACAGATGATTTGAAATTGAAGGCTGCTGCTGTAGCAAAGTGTGCTCAGTGCTCACTATTAGCACCATAAATGTGGAGAGCATAAATAAGCCAGCAGCCTGAGAGGAGGATTGTGTTATTCAGCTAATGAGCACACCGGGTATCCCTGCTCCCGAGGGAGGCAATCACACCAGTCAACCTTCATCACTGCTAAACTTACACTTTCCCTGATACACATTAGCAGGTAACAAATGACTCACATCTGATACAAGCAAACACACTTCTGACTGAGCAATGAGCAGGTTTAGAGGACAGACTTACGGATGTCGTCTTCGTGGTAGATGACAGAGTGAAACGGCACGTCTTTATCCTCCAGGTATCGTTCGGCTGGTTCCACGTAGTAAGTCCCGTGGTAGCTCTGTATGAAGCCTTCAAACTTACCATCCACAACGGAGCCATGAGTCAAGGTACCTTTCTCACCTGGGGAGTCAAATTATCGCAGTTTATTTTCAGACTCTCGCAGGATTGGAGGTGTAATTATCACAGCATCAAGAAAAAAACAAGCGTTGTAAGAAATGCCACCGGACCGAGACATTAAACGGCGTGTGGAACAAACACGGCCTTACCGTAGATTTCTCCTGTGTAGATGTGAGAGGTGTCGTAAGGTATCTCCTCTCCTGAAACCTCCACTTTCAGATCTGGAGAAAATAAGGTGGTGTCCCTTTTCATTCGTAAATTGAAATGCCTGGAATGAGACGAGGAGAGAATCGATTCTTCAGTCACACATCCAGTCTGAAAGCCTTCCACCGATTAAGAATCAGACCAGTTCTGGATTTCAGAGGATAATGTAAACACAATCAAATTACAATCAAATCCAGTCCTTTATGGCTCTGTTTAGATGTTGTTGTTTTTTTTTTATTTATACTTTGACACTTTAACACCTAAAGCTTTAAATGAGAACGTTAACTTAAGATCTCTTCTGTTTTTGCTGGTAATTTTAACATGTTTAAAACGGCGCTATATCGTCTAACATGTATGATTTTTTTTTATTTAGTCTCCTGCCTGTCCAGGGTTGGACGTTTCTTCCGGCTGGTGTTTTTTTTTTTTTCCCCACAGGATTTTTTTCATGTTTTCTTCTGGAGCATGCAAGGTCAAATTTACCGTATTTTCATGACTATAAGGCGCATATAAACATCTTTTTTCCCCCCTCAAAATGTGCGGTGCGCCCTATGCGTGTTGTTACTGCGGACGTTGTTGAGACCGCCATGAGAACGTTAAAGGGGGAAGTGTGGGCGTGGATTGTAGGGCTGAACAATTAATCGCATTTTCAATATAATCGCGATTGAAAAAAATGCAATTTCCAAATCTCGGACGTCTGCAATTTTTGGCTATGTAACAATTAGTGAATCAGACGCGTTCTTTAGGTGTCAGTAAAATGTTTAAAGTGGATTTGCCTCCACATGGAAGGGAAGACGGTTGCAGCAGTGAGATAATCTAATTTTATTACTTGTTTTAAGAGTTTATATATTCATACATAGCACTAAGTACCAGTTAATCAGTTTAATACATAGACTGGTTTGTTGGTTGCACTTTGGACTTCATGTTCAACAAGGACTGATGTCCAAATCAGTTAAAAGTTTTTCTCTTGAATAATATTCTGATTAATAAAAAAATTAAAAGTTCTTGATTTAAATAGTCCTTGTTTACAATTGTCTTTATTTAGAGGCCATTTTTGTTGCTTGTGGTTATGTAGAGAAAAGTCAAAATTAAATTGCAATTTTGGTTGAAATATATCGTAGGCAGAACGCGATCATTAATTAGGACACAGCGTGTCTTTTAGCACCTAATCTGCACAGCGATGAAACAGATTGATTTGTTGTTTGTATATGTTTAAAAAAAAGACATGATCAATTAAACTGGGGGGAATAAATTGCAATTAGATTATTTTCCAAAATCGATCAGCCCTAGTGGATTGTGTATAAAAGAACAGGCATGTGCTTTATGCAGAACATTGTTGCCATAACCCTGAAAATGGCAAAGAGACACGCCTATGAGTGCAATTTTTCCATCCGGACCAGGACTACAGTAGCTCAACAACGTCCGGCAGATTATAATGAAAAGTTGGCGAGCTTCCACTCCTACTGCAGCAAACACATCGCCGACCCGCGCCCTACAGTCCGGTGCGCCTTATGGTCGTGAAAATACGGTACTGAAAATGTTTGTTCGTTTTAGTGAATATCTTGCCTTTTAGTTTTTCTACCATTTAAAGGCTTTTAGTAAATAATAAATCAATCAAATCTGTTAAACCGGGCGTACACTGTACGATTTTTTGCCCTTTTCTGGCCGATTCTCTAATCGTGCGAGAATTTTACGATCTGGCCGACTTTTAGCCCAATCGTGCACCGTGTAGTGTACAGGGGGTAACAAGGGGCAATCAGCAACTCATTTTCCCCACACACTTTGAATGCATCAAAAACACTGCTGCAAACGGGATTATTTTTTCGCACACTACAGCACCTGATAAACAAATATGGAGCCAGGAGGTGTTTCAGCTGAGCGATATACGGCAGAGGTTGGAATTTCACACCGAGGACTTCGATCAAAAGGCGCTAATTTGTAAGACGTGCCACAAAAACCCATCGCAGCAAAAGAAAGCAGGACTACCGTAAATTCTCTAATATAGGCCCGGGCCTTTATTTCACTCAAGCGCATCACAGACCAGGCCTTTATTGGATAGAGGCCAGAATTAGAGACAGGCCTCTATTGCTATTTGAGCAAAACAGACTACCAGTGGAATGAATAAAAATGAGATTTTGT